CGTAACGTAACGTAACGTAACGTAACGTAACGTAACGTAACGTAACGTAACGTAACGTAACGTAGTAGTAGTAGAGTAGAGAGAGAGAGAGAGAGAGAGAGAGAGAGAGAGAGAGAGAGAGAGAGGAATGACTCCTCAAAGTGACATGTCTTTTATCTAACTCTTATCTAACTCCCTAAGGCATCCAAACAGCTCTGCAACTCCCTCAACCCCTCTGCCGAGATGCTCCTCTGCACCCTTGACCTCACCGGCCCCGCCACAAGGCTTGGTGGTGGAGTATGATGGAAGCATACAACTACCACTGACAAATTATCCCCACTCCTCCGCTTAAGAGCTTCTACCACAAGCTCTCTGGAGCAGGCTCTGGGGTCATTGTGCTCCATAAGCCGCCGCCTTGCAAAATCAACGGCATTCTGACTCCTAAAAACTTCCCAAATTCCGTCACAACCAATGATTAAAAACTCATCTTCCTCGGTAAGAAGTGTCGAACTGGTCTCAGGCTCAGCACTCAAGGGACCACACGAAAATGGTGATCCGGAATCATAAGAAGAGGATGGGCACAATAGTCTAGGTCTTCTTCTTTTGATGTCATCACCCAAGTGCCAATCACCAAGAGCGCGGGCCACATTGAGTTGGGCATTGAGGTATCCATCATCCGAGACAAAGCCACCAGATGCCTCGATGCGGCAGCGCTCGTGGGCACACCCCGGCTTGTGGTCACGCGACAGGTCGATGGCCTTGCCACGGTGTGAGAGGACCGCGCGGCAGTCACCGGCATTGGCGACCACAAGGGACCTGTTAGAGAAAGAGAGAGAGAGATCAGTCTGAAATTCAGGAATTTCAAGTCATTTACAAGTGCCCAGAGAGCGAGAGAGAGATGCCTGAAATTCAGGAATTTCAAGTGATTTACTACTAGTGACCTACAGTGAGAGAGAGATCCTCATCTCACAGGTATAATTGGAGCTCACCAATCTTACCAAAATCTTAGCTTCAACATAACCCACGGCTGACAAATGCGAGGAAGCCAAATGCCAAGCAGAAGGACACCATAATCCAAGAGATTATAGATTAATCAAGTCTTAAGTTATACCAGAAAATATGGATAAAACAAATTCTACAAAGCCATCAAAGTCAAATGAGAGAACAGGACCCATAACCAAGGATGTATCTTGTCTTAATGGGTCCCACACTCCATCACCATTCATCATTCCATTGAATGACGATGGACTATATTCTTCCAATAGCTCATCTGATTACCGTAAAGTTTCCCATTTTGGAAACGAGGGATTTCATTCCCATCACCGCCATTTCTAATTTGGTTTTCTGAAATATAAAATGGTCACAAACTACTAACAATAAAGCACAAAAAATAATCACCTTCCAAGAACAAGCGCAGCCAGTGCTGTTGTACCAGAAGCGAGAGCGCTGTCAAGAGCACAAGCTTCTGCGAAAGCATTGTCAGTTTGCAAAAAGGCAGATGTGAGTGCCTTCTCTATCTCTCTTGGGAACTCTGTTTCTTCCAATATTAACCTTGGCAGATTTTTGCACACAAAATCAGCAGCATGTTTCCCTCCATGACCATCGAAAACCTGGCCAAGAAATATGGTCAAGAAAATTGGTGCAAAGAGTGAAAACGAAATTAATTTATAAGAGAATCATACAAGTGCATCAACATGGAACTATGAAAGAAAATGGAAATGGTAAAAATTCCTTCGCTCTGTAGAAGAGAAACCCGAAACATCTGTGAGTTCAAAAATCAAGTTGATGGTGGAGATTGTAGTAGTAAGCAACAAAATCTCAGTTATAGCAAATCTCAGTTATAGCAAAAGTCAGTAGCCCACAACTGTAAGTTTCACAAAGGAAAGAGGGACAAGATGATTCACAAATGATTGATATTTCATGAGATATTCTTAAGAAAGAAAAAGATATTTTCTTTTTTTTTCTAGAGAAGATAATCATAAAATATGATGTAGAAGCAAACAAAAATTAACCTGACAATCCAAATTGGAACATGTTGTAAACTAATCATTAGTTTGCGGATATGCTACAGAAAAGCAATATGCCACATGGAAAGTTTGACATTTTAAAATACAAAAAAATGCGTCCTTCATTATCATTTGTTTATAGTTTATCTTTTCTAATAAGCATTGACAAAGTCTGAACAAAAAACTGATGTAAAATAAATATTACTTTTGGAAGAGCAAGCCAGGATATGAAAAACAGATGTAAAGCTAAAAGGCCGAGTCAAGATGACAAACAAGATTACAAGATATTGCATTTTAACCAGAAAAAAAAAAGGATCAAAGGAAATCATGTTAGATGTGAATCTCAAAACAAAATTCAAAATATCAGGTCAAAAGCCTATGTACTTTTAGCTAATGATAAGAAACCCAATATTCATGTTTAGTAAGCTTTGGTTTCACACTTGAAAGCATCATACAGTATTTTATTTCCTCGCACATAGGGAGAGTTATTTAAATAGAAAAATTACATGGCAACATATTACACAGGATAAATGCAACCAAGGGACAGAGTCCAGAAGAAGAGAGGGAGACAAATTGCGTCCCCCACCTCTCATTTGCTAATTATCGTTAGTGTTCTGGTCCCATTCAAGTAAGCATTTAAAGATTACTAGAACAATGTTTACAAGCCTCTAATTTAAGAAGGATCACTCCAATCAAGGATCAAAATGGGCAGAAATGCAATACTTGGCATCAGGTGTAATACTTAAATAGTCAAAGGATTGTCAATCGACATGAGTTACAAGGTCAAGAAGGTTACCACAGACCGCTCCTATGTCTAGGCAAACTCAAGAGAAAACTTTACACTAAGTATAGTTGATGGAAACGTCTTGATTCCGAATCGTTTCTGGAATCGGAATCACGGAATCTCATGTATCAAAAGTTTCGGAATCTAGGAATCGTTGTCCGTACGATTCGGATTTGAGAAAAATGATTCTCACTATTTCGGAATTGCGATTCAAAAAATTAGGAATTGTGTTTCCTATTTGCAAGAATCGATGTCCCTTCATGTTGGAATCGTGTTTCATACCTATATAGAATCACACATGACCCCACTTGTTCCGGTGGTTGCTAAAATCGTGATTCCTAAAAATAAGGAATCATGATTCTTAAAATTCTAGAATCGTTGTCCCCATCAACTTGGAATCAACATTCTCACAATTCTAGAATCATGATTCTCCCCATATTGAAATCGAGATTCTCTCCTTACTAGAATTGCGAACCAATTCCCTACAATAAATGAGAGAAGTATTCAGAAAATATATAAATTTACCCATTACTACAAGATCGAATTTTAGTCGGTATATACTCAATCCAAGACTCCAAGTACTAATGTCAACATTTATGATATCTTTGTGAACAATCTCATACAATAGACTCGGTCGACCGATAACCGTATTATGCCTACAAGGTCTCGAGCTAGTCTATGGCATACAAGGAGTGAGAACCGGGGCAAGCTCCCTTTATCTCCTTTCCTTGAATTATAAAACAAGTTCATGAAATAGTAATTCTTCTTTGTTAAGCATGTAGTTTTGAGTCTTTTAACTTTTGAAAATTGAGTTATTCAATTTTTAGTCTATCTCTCTTATATTTAATGATTAATTTAACCTACAACACCACACATGTCACTTCGTTCATATCCTTATTATCTTCTTATTTTACTTAAAGAAAAGCATGTTTATCGTCTTATTCAACTTGACGAAATGACGGTGCCGATCATATATTAAACATTATTACATTAGCAGTTTAGTACCCACACCATTTACCAAACATTATTAAATTTGAAATAACATATTTTTTTAGTATTATTTATTCTTGGTAAGAGTTCTTAAAAAGTAACATGGAGTGAAGGATGGAAATTACTATATAAGAAAATAAAAAATTTAACACGTTACTTATATTTAAAATTTTGATTTTATTGTCGTGTGCAACAACTTCAAATTCTCTCACGCTCTCATACATGTCGTGCTCACTCATGATTGAGCACACATCGAAGGGTTTCTGCTCTCCCTATGCTCATATTACTCATATTTTAAAGTTTGATTTTATTGCTGTGTGCAACAACTTAATATTCTCACGCTCTCATACATGTCGCGCTCACTCATGATTGAACACACATCGAAGGGTTTCTGCTCTCCCTATGCTCACATTGCTTCCTGGCAACATGGATTCACAATTCCTTAATACGTTGAATCAACTTTTAGCATAAATAGAATCGCATTGTTGATAGCAAGGAATCACGATGTCTGCAATATAAAAACTTGATTCCAAACAACATGGATTCAAAATTCCAAAAAATTTGGAATCAACATTTCTCACAAGCAAATCGCACTTTTGTGTAGCTAAGAATCATAAAGTCCTCGACATGGAATCTTAATTCTGGCAATCCATGAATCAAGATTCCTAAACTAGGTGGAATCGCATTTCGCAAAAAATGGAAACGTGATTCCTTTCTTTTAGAATTGACTTTCGCCCGGGGAAACGCTGAATCAAGATTCCAAAATGGAATCGATACCCTCATAGGCAATTCGCGTAACTATACACTGCAGTCCTCAAGAAGCTAAGAAAGGCTTAGGCAAAAGAAGAATGTGTCGCTTTTTGATGCAAACCACTTCCATAAGGCACAACCATCCAACTTTTCAGCCCTATGTTCATTTGGTTTGATCCAAAACTCACTTCTAAGATCATTTCAGGGGCTACAACAATAATATTTATTTTTTCATAATCGTTTGTTTTGGGCTTCAATCTCAGCTAAAAGCCTAGTGGCAAAATTAGTACCGAATTTTAGGTTTAATAAGGGTTTGTTTGAATGTATGTGCTATCACTGATAATTCACTTGTTTCACAAAAAAACAAATTCCCGAAAATGAATTGTCAGTTGTTTGGTAGTGTCCCTCACAAAATTCATCATCATCAATATCAGTTTTAGAAATAAGTTCATCTTTCTAAAATGTTGGTTTCACTTTATTCAAAGTAATTTACTGAAAATCACATGTTTTAGTCAAAAACAACTAAAAATAGCAAAAAATTACAAAAAAATAAGTAATTAAATAACATTACATATTATCCAAGGTATATACCAAACATATAACAAAAATAATATTATGCAAATAAGATAGTCCACTCCAATAAGATTGTCTAATCTTGATAAGATTAATTATCATCCAAAAAGGCCCCAAGGTTTTAGTTTTGGTCGGCTACCCGCAATTTTTAGAAATGTTATGTGCCCTTTGGTAGTGTATCAAAAAGCGTTAGGCGGGTCCTAGGCGGCCTAGGGGATCCAGGTCGCCAACGCCTAGGCGGGCACCTAGAACATGGGCGGTTGCCAGTTGAAATTTGAAAAAAAATAAAAAGCATACCAAATTATGACTAAATACTAATATAATACCATATTCCAAGTTGAAAATAAAAAAAGATAGACGTTGAGAAGAGAATTTTGATAATCCATATTGTTAAAACAGTAAACTGTAAAACCATACATGTGTAAGTAGGATATGAAAGTCAATATTCAACACAACAAAAATTTAGAAAATATACAGTATAACAAAAGTCAACACTCATGACTCAACTCAACAGTCAATAGACTCAACACTCAGCACCTAGAGGCAAGAGTCTTCAGTCAGCGTCATCATCATCATCATCATTATCAGAAGGAATATCAATAGAGCAAGCCTCATCATATACATCAGAGTCGAGGCCATCATCAGAGTCATCTCCCTCTTCAATATAACGCTCGTCCTCCTCTGTTTCTTCTGAATCTGCATCTTCTTCCTCCTCTTCTTCTACCTTCCTCTTACTTGTCTGTGCAGATGAGGCCCTAGGAGTCTTGGCTACTCTACCGTTTTCTTTGTGCTTATCTGAACTCAAATATTGTATAATTTCCTCCTTGGTAGCCTTAGGAACATTTTACAAGGGGCAACATCCCCTTAATACCGGTAAGGTGTTTTTTAAACCGATAAATGCCCCCATTAATATCTTGTCCACAAGAATTACATTTTTATCACTTGAATTCGGGTATAACCATACTTCCAACCCGGATCACCACTCCGTCTACAACCTGAAGAAGATACTTCCATAGAACAAGGCTTATTTTCATCCTTTTCTGGTTCTTCAAAATTCAGAAGATGTCTAATCTCTTCCCGAACTGCTTCAGGAACCTTTGTACAAGAAGCAACATTACCTCTAACACTAGCAAGGTGTTTTTTGAATCGGCTGATACCCTCATTGGTATCTTTTTCACAAAAATTACACTTTATACAATTTTATCATTTGGTTTTGGGTTGTAACCATACTTCCAACCCGGATCACTTTTTTTAAGATTTGCCGAAATAGATCTATGACAAGAATTTTGTTCTTGTTTTTGTTTTACATAACTTATAAATTGTTTAATCTCCTCTTTGATAGCTTCAAGAAAATTTTTACAAGGGGCAACATCCCCCTTAATACCGGCAAGATGTTTCTTAAACCGGTTTATGCCTCCTTTTGTATCTTTTTCACAAAAAATGCATTTAACGCAATTTTTGTCATTTGGATTCGAGTTGTATCCACATTTCCAACCCGGATCTTCAC